AAACTAGGTGTGCCGAGTTTGGACTTATTTTGTTAGTTATGATGAGACCTTACCACTGGACTTGATTGAGTGACCTGAAGGTGTAATCAGGTGGTTACAACTGGAACTCCTAGACTAGTCGAACTAGGTGTGACGAGTTTGGGTGCGTTTTGTTAGTTATGATGCAACCTTACCACCGGACTTGATGGAGTGACCAGAAGGTGTAATTCAGTGATTACAACAGGAACTCCTAGACTAGTAGAACTAGGTGCGCCGAGTTTGGGTTCGTTTTGTTAGTTACGATGAGATCTTACCACCGGACTTGATGAAGTGACCTGAAGGTGTAATCAGGTGGTTACAAATGGAACTCCTAGACTAGTAGAACTAGGTGTGACGAGTTTGGTTTCGTTTTGTTAGTTACGATAAGACCTTACCACCGGACTTGATTGACAAACTGGGCACACCTAGTTCTACCAGTCTAGGAGTTCCAGTTGCAATCACCGATTTACACCTTCAGGTCACTCCATCAAGTCCGGAGGTATGAACTCGTCATAACTAACAAAACGAAGCCCAAATTCGGCACACCTAGTTCTACTCGTTCAGAAATTCCAGCAGTAGTTACTGAATTACCCCTTCAGGTCACTCCATCAAGTCGGGTGGTAATGTCTCATCATAACCTACAAAACGAACCCAAACTCGGCACATCTAGTTCTACTAATCTAGGAGTTCCAGTTGTAATCACTGAATTACACCTTCAGGTCACTCCATCAAGACCGGTGGTAAGGTCTCATTGTAACTAACAAAACGAACCCAAACTCAGCACACCTAGTTCTACTAGTCTAGGAGTTCCACTTGTAATCACCGAATTACACCTTCAGGTCACTCCATCAAGTCCGGTGGTAAGGTCTCATCATAACCAACAAAACGAATCCAAACTCGGCACACCTAGTTCCACTAGTCTAGGAGTTCCTGTTGTAATCACCGAATTACACCTTCAGGTCACTCCATCAAGTCCGCAGGTAGGAAAGGTCTTATTATAACTGACAAAACCAGTTCAAAGTCCAAGCTAACATCTCACTACCAGTAGAGGGCTTCCAGTGCCAAGCAGTCTCTGGAGTTGGTATTCGTATTTCGTATTGAAGTATAATTCTGAGGTAGGTATAAGAAATGAAAAACAAATTCAATCTTTCAAATTATCAAAATAATTTCATTTGACTACAATTCCCACAGCCAACCGTGCGTACACTAGTGTGTGTGCGACTTTTGTCAATGTAGTAGTGCGATTCTATACCTATCAATTTTGTAAACGCGTCCTTAATTCTATAGGTAGTCATTTCGAAAATTGGTTGATTCTCACGATGGTATCTAAAGATTACGCTAGATGGCACAAATACGCTATCGGCTAATTTATATTACCATAATATGAGTTTAAAAAAATCATTTTGTACGGTTTATTATGAATTGAAAATGAATAATTATATAATAAATAGTCATTATTTTATGGTAAAAAATTAGCAAAACTTTATTTTCTCATTAAAACTATAATATAATTATTATATAATTCCTGTCGTAATCTGTTCTTTTATGCATATAACTTAAACAAAATAATTTCGAGGTTTCACATCTGCCAGGCGTCCCTTTTTTAACTTTGTACATAGTTTGTTTGTACTTTGTTCATGCTTTTCTTTTGTTCATGTATTGTATTGTTTGTAAATATCTCAAGCAAACCCAAACGGCTCTTTTCAAAACCACCGAAGGTGTGCAATTGCATATTATGTCATACAATCTATCTAGCGGTAGTATGCTTTCTGTGTGTTTTGTTAAACACGTCCTTGACAGCACTGAATATGAAACTAAAGAGTGGAGACAGCTCAAGATTGGTGTATTTTTATTAAACTGCTAAAACAACAAAACCATATCTTGGGCTTGCCCTAGTTTGGCGCCCTAGCTTCGCACTGATCATAAACCCTTATTGACTATATTTAGCAATAAGAAAGGAATTCCAGAAATGTCCGCAAATCGATTACAACGTTATACCCTTTTTGTCTTGTTATAATTACGTCATTCAATACGTTCAAAGTGTAAACGATGTTGCTGATTACCTTTCTCGCTCACTCGCTCCACGGAGTCAACGCAGATTGAAACTAACGCAGTACTAACTCCGTCAGAAAAACCGGTTTGCAATATTGAAATATAATCATATTTGCACCATTTATACCTATTTCACTATCTATAAATTTATTACGTAGATAAACAGTTAGCGGTGAAGTATTAAGCAAAGTAAAAAATCATGTCATTAAAAAGTGGTCGTGTAGAGACAAACAACCGCAATGTACCATATTTTAAATGTAGATTTCAGTTAGAATTATAAGACAATTGCACTATGCGTGGATATGAAGTTGTAATACTGTTGCGCATCACAATTAATGCCTGATACGTAGCTACACTAGTTACCACTAGCGCCATCTAGTATCGTGTAGGAGAATTAGGAGAGTCAAGATGCATCCAGAAATTTCCATGAAAGAATTTTTTAGAACTACCGACACCTATTCAGTCAGGACCGGTATATGTACTCGAAGAGTTATGTGGTGTTTTTGGTTGATGTAGACGTTAGTAATGGATAACGCTACAAATTTTACATGGACAATATTTAAACAGTTTTGTGATTCGAACGGCATAAAACATATCACCATTGCTCCGTATCATCCTGCTTCCAATGGGCAGGCGGAGAACTCAGTAAAAACCGTTAAAAAGGGGATAAAATATTAAAAATGTAAAATCATACACAGTGTTATTTTTTCCTTAATTTTAATTATAGAAATGTACCATATTGCAATCACGGATGTTAATAACAGGGAGCAGTGACTCAGATTATAGGTATATTTATATCCTAAGCGAGGAGGAAATGGATAGAAACGTGCTAGATCGACGGGAAGATGGAGATAGTCGATCCTTGTCTCGCACTTCGAGAATGAGTGGCTGTTCTTCAGAAGTCACGCAGGCAGATGAATCGTGGGAACCAAGTGTGACCTTTCGGAGGTGAATATATATCGCTTATAGAGATAGAGGGAATATAACCTAAGGCCCCGCAGAGAGCGTAGGCTATTGCCGCAATAATAAAAAATCTTATGTAATCCACCCATTTTCCGTAAATGTTTAGTTTTGTTATTTTTATTCTTTATTTAATTTAGTTTGGTAAATATAAGTGGAGGGATTTTAGTAAAAGAAAAAAAAATGTAAACGACGCGCGGTCTGACGCGCATCAGGGTTTGGCTCTTTCTGTAACGTACAAGACATTTTGACCAGTGCTCGGATATTTTTGTTATTTTTACAACTGACAATGCTGAGTCAGACCCTGTGGTTTTTTTTGATAGCAAAGCTAATTTGTGCTTCGTCTGGTACTTAAAGATGATAGAAGTCTGTCGGGGTCTTATCGAACATTTCTCTTGCAACTTGTGAATCTGATTCTGGAGGTATTCCGACGTTGATTACCTTTTGGTTGTTGCCACACGGTAGATGCTGCAGGAAGCGACGCGGTGTGACTAGAAGTACATGGCACGGCATTTTCGGGTTCAATGTCACTCGTCTCACAAAATGACAGAATTCGGCGACATCGTTTTTGTAAAGGTGGTTGTAAATCACACTCTTCCTCAGACTCCGAACTTAGCTAAAAGCTATCATTGAGCAAGGAAATATCAATATTTTCAACCTGCGTCAAATCATTATTTGTTATTTCAAAGCCTTCTAAATCATCCATGATGACTAAATTTCAGGCAGGACACAGTTTATTTCACTTTAGAGATAAACCAGGGAAAACTTTCACTAGCACAATCCTTAAATGTTAATTTATATGTTTAATGAATGATAAACAATGCGCGTGACCTTGCGCTCGATCACTAACCCTCTAATGATGTCACTGGCATGTCAAGCGCAACGCCTCGGAAGTGCGTGGGGTTGTGGCCCGCGTATATTCGCAGGGAGGAAATGCAAATTTTCAACGACGTGCGCCGTGGTGCTCAGCGACAGCAATCATTATATGAACTACTTTGATAGTAAAAAAAAATATTTTTAAAGCGGGGTTTTTAATTATTTTGAATCATATGAACCTATAAAATGTAAGTAATGTGTAAAATTTGTCGAAATCGCGAGTCGCCGTCGGCCCATATGGTAAGTATAATGTTGGTCACCGGTGATCACCATGGCGTTCAATGTGTTGTTAAGTAAAAGTTCCATTATTTTGATATTTTAAACTCGTTTTTGATCTCGACGTAGGGTAGATAGCTTTGGCATTAAATACGTTTAAATATATCATTGGCTGCTTTTAATACCCAATTAATATATTGAAGAAAAATTTGTTTTCCATTAAAACACGTTCTAACGTATTGAACGCTAAATTAAACGAAAAAAAAATAACGAAATTTTCTGAAACATATTGCTGGTCCTGAAAGTTTCTAAAACAACAGCTAAACGTAGTAGTTTGCTTTAGAAGCACTTTTATAGGCATTTGGTCGATATAATCAGATCATAAAAGATGACCGAGATGAGATCAAGATACTCAAGCATTAATAGCCACGCTACAGCTGTATAATGACTGCAGCACGAATGGGTCGGTTTTACTGGGGAAAGACTACGCTTTCATAGAATACCAGCGTAAAATAGCAGCTTAATGCTGTTTTTCGTATAGTGATTGTAGTAAACAGGAGACCCTTTGTACTGGTAACGTGGCATTCCATCTTAGTCCTCAGGAGCGACAACATTCTTGCGTTTTGATTCTTAACCCAAGCACCGCCAGCGCCCGGCGCTAGAGCCGTGCTCTGCGCAGTACTCTGCGCATTGGCGACACTTAGACGTCTTGGACGCGGTAACAGCGCAAAACTTTCTGACGCCTATTACATCATCGTAATGGATAGTATCATGCCGTTTTACTTATAACCAAGCTTAAAGCATAAGAGCTTGTCTCTCTTAAGTCTTTCTTACAAAAAAGGTGTTGCGAGATTGCATTTATGGTGTGTGGTGCGCAGGCACGAATAGCGGCGTGCTACCCGGGCGCCGGGCTGGCGCTGCCGCTCAGCACGCAAGACATACTCGACGCATTCTCTGACATCGCGCGCGAGCACTGACCGGACCGGTTGGGACCGGACCGGACCGTGCTGCATCAGATCACCTCTGATTCAAATATCCTTCATATGTATATAATTTTGCGAATTATATCATAGAATATATGTATAGTAAGTTTAATCAATTAAACTATTTAGCTAGCTAAGAAGCTTTATAAATAATAATAAAGATTTATATTATGTATAATATACTTGTGTAGGAAATAAAAAATTTCTATAAATGCAGTTGTTTTGCTTTATTTAAATATGAAATCCAATTATGCACATTTAAAATACCTTTATTTTTTTCATAACGTTTATTCAAATCGGCACAAAAAGGAGAGAAAATATTATGAACCATAATTTTAAAGGTCTGACATTTAAGCGAAGTTCAATAACATTGTGCATAATTTTATACGTGGTAGAGCCCTCTCATAAAGGAGGAGAGGCCTGTGCCCAGCAGTTTTTACTTTATAGCCACGCTGCAGCTAGGTAATCATGGTTGCAGCACGAATGGGTCGGCTCGCCCGGGGTAGCACCACGCTCTCACAGATTACCAGCATAAAATAGCAGCTCAATGCTAGTGTGTTTTGTATGGTGAGTGTAGAAGAGAACCGGAGACTCTTTTTACTGCAAACGAGACACTCCATCTTAGTCCTCAGGGGTGACAACGCATCTGCATTTTAATTCTTAGTTGAGGATAAATGTAGATGTACACAGCATCAACATACCATCAGGTGGACTGTGTGCTCGTTTGTCACCCTGGTTGCCCAAAAAACACAAATTTGCATTTGTGTTAATTAGTTAGTTAAAATTAGCTGGTAGTCTCTCTTCTCACTTCCGGTCCCTTCCTGTACGAGCGAGCCCAATAGGGGGCTAGACATGGTGGCATCATTTTGTCGGCCCAATGAGAGGGCGCTCTGCAAAAAGTGAAAGGCCAGATGCACGCCGCCGGCAGACCAGTTATCGACGTGTGCCGCCGGCGCTCGGCAGTTGCAGCGCGATCTTGGCCGCGATAGCACCCTGTGACAGTCAAACCACAGGGCAATATAAACAATTCGTGGTGACCACTTGCACAGTGCAGTTTTGGTGCATGTATGGTCGCGCGCCGCTCGCAGCGGCTGAACGCACTTCCTCCAGCCTCGAGGCCTTAGTAATGAACTACTAGCAGAACCACACCGGTAAGTGCCTGTTCCTTGAAACCATGAGCTGTTTTTTTCTATTTATTGTTCTTTCCTTGGCAGCTCATGTTTTCCGTCGTGCCGGCTAATATAGTAAATTAGATTATAGCAAGTACATATATTGTCCAAAACCCGCCACGTGCCACGTCCGTCATTGTGTTTATAGTTATAACTAACTACGCATATACAGTCCACTTTAGTTATTCTCGCACCGAATACTTTTGGACTCATTATTCGCGGAATCGAGCCCGGGACTTTGCCACCCAACCATACCAACTATAAAAAAAACTTTTTGTATTTAGTCTAGGAGGAATCGGCACATGAGTATCGGACCTCAATTTTTTAATGCGATTTTCTTTAAATTGTCCCACTGATGAACTGATGATATAAGAATTGTTATTTTCAAACGGGAAAATAATGATTAAAACTACTTTTACGGATTTTATAGCGTTTATTTTTACTTTTTATTTTTAATTCCCGACGTTTCGGGCGCTTTCCAGCACACATGGTCACGGGGGACTGAGATGACTGACGTCCCGATGTCATTGTTAAACCCGGAGTACCTTCAGCTTTTTTAATTATTGTTTCGATCGGACCATAAAGTACCTTGAAGATCACCAGCTGATTAGTGACCGCCAATACGGTTTTCGCCGTGGTCGGTCAGCTGGTGATCTTCTGGTCTACCTAACTCACAGATGGGCGGAGGCAGTAGAGTTCAAGGGGGAGGCATTGGCCGTTAGTTTGGACATTGCGAAGGCCTTCGATCGGGTTTGGCACAAAGCGCTTCTTTCGAAGCTCCCTTCCTATGGGCTTCCCGAGAAATTGTGCGATTGGATCACCAGCTTTCTTGCAGATCGGAGCATCAAGGTCGTTGTAGACGGTGCAAGCTCCGATTGCAAGCCTATTAATGCTGGTGTTCCACAGGGCTGCGTGCTATCGCCAACGCTGTTTCTTCTGCATATCAATGACATGTTGCATACCCGTAACATTAATTGCTATGCAGATGACAGCACTGGTGATGCTCTTTACACTGGCCGAGCCAATATTTCTCGGGAAAACGTCTCCGAGTGCCGGGACAAACTTGTGTCTGAAGTCGAGTCTCTGCTGGACAGAGTCTCGGATTGGGGGCGACTAAATCTAGTCCAGTTTAACCCCCAGAAGACACAAGTTTGTGCGTTAACCGCTAAAAAGAACCCCTTTGTCGTATCCCCTTAGTTTCAAGGCACTCCCCTTGTTGCCTCAGCCAGTATCGGAATCCTCGGCGTCGACATATCGAGTGACGTGCAGTTTCGTGGTCACTTGGAAGGGAAGGCCAAATTGGCCTCTAAAAAGCTTGGCGTGCTCAGCAGAGCGGGACAGTACTTCATGCCGGCACACCGCCTGCAACTTTACAAGGCGCAGGTTCGGCCGCACATGGAATACTGTTCCCATCTCTGGGCTGGGGCTCCCCAGTACCAGCTTCTTCCACTTGACCGCATCCAGCGCAGAGCGGCTCGAATCGTCGACGACCGAGTGCTTTCCGATCGGCTCGATTCACTGGCGCTGCGAAGAGATGTTGCATCTCTTTGCGTATTTTATCGCATCTATCACGGGGAGTGCTCTGAGGAATTGTTCGGATTAATCCCAGCCGCCAAATTTCGTGAACGCACTACACGTCAAACGTCCCGATACCATCCACACCATCTGGATGCTTGGCGGTCCACCACTGTACGTTTCACAAGGAGTTTTCTTCCACGTACAACCTCTCTGTGGAATAGTTTACCACCGGCGATTTTTCCGGACCGATACGACCTGGGGACCTTCAAGAAAAGAGCTTACTCCTTTCTAAAGGGCCGGCAACGCACCCGCAATTCTCTTGGTGTTGCGGTTGATCATGGGCGGCGGTAGTCACTTAACATCAGGTTAGCCGCATGCTCGTTTGCCCCTTCTATAAAAAAAAAAGACCCGCATAGCTGCTCGCACATAATTAAAAAAAACATGATCACTTCAGCTCAGCGACACGCCATCTCTTAAGCACCTAACACCATCATAAAACTAGATCTGCAAGAACCAAGTTAGAACATCTCTTACCTATTCATTGTGCTGTGTATTCTACATGTAGTTCATTGCTATTGTCTTATTATTGTGTATATTTTTAATCATTGAAGTTTCTGCCATTGTTACTTGTACTATACAAAATCCTGGGGAACAGAATTTCATAGGGCGTTTATGTGCTTTTGATATGATTATTTGCTTCGATTTTTCATTTTTTTACATGTGATATTATTCACCTATAAAAAGTTTTCCAAATTCTGAAAATAGAGTACCCAATAATTGCATAGTAGATGTAATAATAAAAATGGTAACTTGTGTTAAGTGCAGTGAATAAAACAAACATTATGTTTTCAATTAAATACTATTATTTATTTAAACTATAGTTTGCTTTAATACATACATCACAATATTATCAATAACGAGACATCTAATCCAGAGATTTGGGAGGAGAGTAGTTGAGGTATACTAGCCCGGAAGTTTTAGCCTGAAAAAAAAAACAATACCGTAATATTTAACATTTTTATCATGAGTACTTACACATGAACCATGTAGTGGCGGTGTAACAATATCCACTGCACCAGTCATCCCGTGCGTGTCGTGAGAGCGACAGAGGGAAACAAACCAGGATAAAAACAGTTAAAAAATAAAAAATACAGTTGCCAAGTCGCTTGGCCTGACAAGTGTGACAACTATGGCAAAAATCCTCCAATGAGGCAGCAATTAATGGGGATGCCTATGTTGCATGTAGGACTTTTGACTGGCTGTACTCATATTGTATAACATTTTCTTTCTTCTTATGTTCTTGTAAGTACAGAAAGTAAAGTAACTCATTTCCAAGTAGGTTTTGAAATAGGAAGAGTATGCCACCCTGATTCAATGCTTACCATACAAAATAGGTTATTTAATTACATGGTAACATTGTTATGGAATATTTCATGGTTAACAACCAAAATGATCCACAAGCAAACAGGGTTTCACCCTCACCAGCACTGACAAAATTGTTAATATCAATTTTAAATGCAGATTTATCATGTGCTCTGCAGTAAGGAAATTTGTGCAGGAATTATTTCTGAGGATATGTGAGGACCACCTACACCCCTTTCCTTATAGGAGAGGAAGTCTGTGCCCAGCAGTGTAACTTTTTACTTTTCTAGAAAGTAGTGCTATTAGTCATAATAACCTGTTATGATGGTGAGTACTGAAAAGATTCCAACTTATCTTGTATGACTTACTCAAACCTGCTGCTGATGATTCGGTACAATTGGAATACTTTTACTTATTGTACTTCTACAGCGTACTTTTTAATCAAAAAAGGCACGTATGGCAATTCACAATGCTGTGTTGGTCCCTACTTTAACGTATGGTAGTGAAAGTTGGGTATGGCAGAAGAAGCACGAGAGTAGAATAAATGCAGTAGAAATGCGGTCCTTAAGGAGTATGTTAGGGCTGAATTTGAGTAACAGGGTGAGAAATTGTGTGATAAGAGAACAGTGTGGTTTGCAAGATGATGTTGTGACCAGGATTAAGAAAGGAATGCTTCGGTGGTTTGGTCATGTGGAAAGAATGGATGAGGAAAGAGTGACAAAGAAAATTTATGTTGCAGAAGTGAATGGCAGAGTCGGAAAGGGACGTCCTAGGCGAAAATTTATCGACCAAATTGGCGATTTATTGAAAACGGGCCAAATTAGGAGTACCCTTAACCGACGAGCATGCATGCGTAGGTGTATGGATGTGAAGGAGGCGAGAGAGGTGTGTCAGGATCGTGCCAAATGGAAGTCTGTAGTCTCTGCCTACCCCTCTGGGTGACAG